ATTTATGCAAAGTTTTAATCCATTTGGAAAAACTCTCGAAGGGTCGCCCCTAGTCAAAAATTGAAAATGCATTTCCTACTTGGTTCTTTGCTCAAAAAAATTTTAGGTTGTTTTATTTGTTTTTGTTTTAAGCACTTAAATATTTATAAAAAGTTTCAATCCATTTGGATAAACCTTCGAAAAAAAAAATGAAAATCTAGATTTTGACTAGACCTGTCCCTAGTCAAAAATTGAAAATGCATTTCCTACTTGGTTCTTTGCTCAAAAAAATTTTAGGTTGTTTCATTTGTTTTTGTTTTAAGCACTTAAATATTTATAAAAAGTTTCAATCCATTTGGATAAACCTTCGAAAAAAAAAATGAAAAACTAGATTTTGACTAGACCTGTCCCAAGTTCATAATTGAAAATGTATTTCCTACTTGGTTCTTTGCTCAAAAAAATTTTAAGATGTTGTATTTGTATTTTTTTAAGCACTAGAATATTTATGCGAAGTTTCAATCCATTTGGAAAATTCCTCGAAGAAAAAAGTTACAAAATTGATTTTGACTAGGGTCGCCCCTAGTTATTTGTTTTTGTTTTAAGCACTAGAATATTTATAAAAAGTTTCAATCCATTTGGATAAACCTTCGAAAAAAAAAAATGAAAAACTAGATTTTGACTAGACCTGTCCCAAGTTCATAATTGAAAATGTATTTCCTACTTGGTTTTTTGCTCAAAAAAATTTTAAGATGTTTTATTTGTATTTGTTTTAAGCACTAGAATATTTATGCAAAGTTTTAATCCATTTGGAAAAACTCTCGAAGAAAAAAGTGACAAAATTGATTTTGACTAGGGTCGCCCCTAGTCAAAAATTGAAAATGCATTTCCTACTTGGTTCTTTGCTCAAAAAAATTTTAGGTTGTTTTATTTGTTTTTGTTTTAAGCACTTAAATATTTATAAAAAGTTTCAATCCATTTGGATAAACCTTCGAAAAAAAAAATGAAAATCTAGATTTTGACTAGACCTGTCCCTAGTCAAAAATTGAAAATGCATTTCCTACTTGGTTCTTTGCTCAAAAAAATTTTAGATTGTTTCATTTGTTTTTGTTTTAAGCACTTAAATATTTATAAAAAGTTTCAATCCATTTGGATAAACCTTCGAAAAAAAAAATGAAAAACTAGATTTTGACTAGACCTGTCCCAAGTTCATAATTGAAAATGTATTTCCTACTTGGTTCTTTGCTCAAAAAAATTTTAAGATGTTTTATTTGTATTTGTTTTATGCACTAGAATATTTATGCAAAGTTTTAATCCATTTGGAAAAACCCTCGAAGAAAAAAGTGACAAAATTGATTTTGACTAGGGTCGCCCCTAGTCCAAAATTGAAAATGTATTTCCTACTTGGTTCTTTGCTCAAAAAAATTTTAGGATGTTTTATTTGTTTTTGTTTTAAGCACTTGAATATTTATAAAAAGTTTCAATCCATTTGGATAAACCCTCGAAGAAAAAAGTGACAAAATTGATTTTGACTAAGGTCGCCCCTAGTCCAAAATTGAAAATGTATTTCCTACTTGGTTCTTTTCTCAAAAAAATTTTAAGATGTTGTATTTGTATTTGTTTTAAGCACTAGAATATTTATGCGAAGTTTCAATCCATTTGGAAATTTCCTCGAAGAAAAAAGTTACAAAATTGATTTTGACTAGGGTCGCCCCTAGTCCTAAATTGAAAATGTATTTCCTACTTGGTTCTTTGCTCAAAAAAATTTTAAGATGTTTTATTTGTTTTTGTTTTAAGCACTAGAATATTTATAAAAAGTTTCAATCCATTTGGATAAACCTTCGAAAAAAAATGAAAAACTAGATTTTGACTAGTCCTGTCCCAAGTTCATAATTGAAAATGTATTTCCTACTTGGTTCTTTGCTCAAAAAAATTTTAGGATGTTTTATTTGTTTTTGTTTTAAACACTAGAATATTTATGCAAAGTTTCAATCCATTTGTATAAACACTGGAAGAAAAAAGTGACAAAATTGATTTTGACTAGGGTCGCCCCTAGTCCAAAATTGAAAATGTATTTCCTACTTGGTTCTTTGCTCAAAAAAATTTTAGGATGTTTTATTTGTTTTTGTTTTAAGCACTTGAATATTTATAAAAAGTTTCAATCCATTTGGAAAAACCCTCGAAGAAAAAAGTGACAAAATTGATTTTGACTAAGGTCGCCCCTAGTCCAAAATTGAAAATGTATTTCCTACTTGGTTCTTTTCTCAAAAAAATTTTAAGATGTTTTATTTGTTTTTGTTTTAAGCACTAGAATATTTATAAAAAGTTTCAATCCATTTGGATAAACCTTCGAAAAAAAATGAAAAACTAGATTTTGACTAGACCTGTCCCAAGTTCATAATTGAAAATGTATTTCCTACTTGGTTCTTTGCTCAAAAAAATTTTAGGATGTTTTATTTGTTTTTGTTTTAAGCACTAGAATATTTATGCAAAGTTTCAATCCATTTGTATAAACACTGGAAGAAAAAAGTGACAAAATTGATTTTGACTAGGGTCGCCCCTAGTCCAAAATTGAAAATGTATTTCCTACTTGGTTCTTTTCTCAAAAAAATTTTAAGATGTTTTATTTGTTTTTGTTTTAAGCACTAGAATATTTATAAAAAGTTTCAATCCATTTGGATAAACCTTCGAAAAAAAATGAAAAACTAGATTTTGACTAGACCTGTCCCAAGTTCATAATTGAAAATGTATTTCCTACTTGGTTCTTTGCTCAAAAAAATTTTAGGATGTTTTATTTGTTTTTGTTTTAAGCACTAGAATATTTATGCAAAGTTTCAATCCATTTGTATAAACACTGGAAGAAAAAAGTGACAAAATTGATTTTAACTAGGGTCGCCCCTAGTCCAAAATTGAAAATGTATTATCTACTTGGTTCTTTGCTCAAAAAAATTTTAGAATGTTTTATTTGTATTTGTTTTAAGCATTTGAATATTTATGCAAAGTTTCAATCCATTTGTATAAACACTGGAAGAAAAAAGTGACAAAATTGATTTTGACTAGGGTCGCCCCTAGTCCAAAATTGAAAATGTATTTCCTACTTGGTTCTTTGCTCAAAAAAATTTTAGGATGTTTTATTTGTTTTTGTTTTAAGCACTTGAATATTTATAAAAAGTTTCAATCCATTTGGAAAAACCCTCGAAGAAAAAAGTGACAAAATTGATTTTGACTAAGGTCGCCCCTAGTCCAAAATTGAAAATGTATTTCCTACTTGGTTCTTTTCTCAAAAAAATTTTAAGATGTTTTATTTGTTTTTGTTTTAAGCACTAGAATATTTATAAAAAGTTTCAATCCATTTGGATAAACCTTCGAAAAAAAATGAAAAACTAGATTTTGACTAGACCTGTCCCAAGTTCATAATTGAAAATGTATTTCCTACTTGGTTCTTTGCTCAAAAAAATTTTAGGATGTTTTATTTGTTTTTGTTTTAAGCACTAGAATATTTATGCAAAGTTTCAATCCATTTGTATAAACACTGGAAGAAAAAAGTGACAAAATTGATTTTAACTAGGGTCGCCCCTAGTCCAAAATTGAAAATGTATTATCTACTTGGTTCTTTGCTCAAAAAAATTTTAGAATGTTTTATTTGTATTTGTTTTAAGCATTTGAATATTTATGCAAAGTTCCAATCCATTTGTATAAACCCTCGAAGAAAAAAGTGACAAAATTGATTTTGACTAGGGTCGCCCCTAGTCAAAAATTGAAAATGCATTTCCTACTTGGTTCTTTGCTCAAAAAAATTTTAGGTTGTTTTATTTGTTTTTGTTTTAAGCACTTAAATATTTATAAAAAGTTTCAATCCATTTGGATAAACCTTCGAAAAAAAAAATGAAAAACTAGATTTTGACTAGACCTGTCCCAAGTTCATAATTGAAAATGTATTTCCTACTTGGTTCTTTGCTCAAAAAAATTTTAAGATGTTTTATTTGTATTTGTTTTAAGCACTAAAATATTTATGCAAAGTTTTAATCCATTTGGAAAAACCCTCGAAGAAAAAAGTGACAAAATTGATTTTGACTAGGGTCGCCCCTAGTCAAAAATTGAAAATGCATTTCCTACTTGGTTCTTTGCTCAAAAAAATTTTAGAATGTTTTATTTGTATTTGTTTTAAGCATTTGAATATTTATGCAAAGTTCCAATCCATTTGTATAAACCCTCGAAGAAAAAAGTGACAAAATTGATTTTGACTAGGGTCGCCCCTAGTCAAAATTTGAAAATGCATTTCCTACTTGGTTCTTTGCTCAAAAAAATTTTAGGTTGTTTTATTTGTTTTTGTTTTAAGCACTAGAATATTAATGCGAAGTTTCAATCCATTTGGAAATTTCCTCGAAGAAAAAAGTTACAAAATTGATTTTGACTAGGGTCGCCCCTAGTCCAAAATTGAAAATAAATTTCCTTCTTGGTTCTTTGTTAAAAAAAATTTTAAGATGTATTATTTGTTTTTGTTTTGAGCACTTGAATATTTATGCAAAGTTTCAATCCATTTGGATAAACCCTCGAAGAAAAAAGTGACAAAATTGATTTTGACTAGGGTCGCCCCTAGTCAAAATTTGAAAATGCATTTCCTACTTGGTTCTTTGCTCAAAAAAATTTTTTTCATCCACAGTTTAATTTAAAAAAAAAAATCACAGTGAACTTTTAATTTAAAAAATTCGTAAAAAGGAAAGTTTTTTGCTTTTTCTGAAGCAACGGCTGTTCCTACCTTGCCCAAAAACAATACAGCTCTTCTATAGAGCAGCACGGATCAAATGTAAAAAACTAGAAGTCTCGTTATTGAGATTTCTGGCTGATTAACTTGCTTGCTTGCTTGTTTGCTTACAGAAAGCGTATTTTGCGATTTTCTCAGCAATTCCGCAACTAATTTGAAATCTGTTTTTTGCAAAAGATGTGAAATGCAATGCACAATTTTTTCATCTCTGAACATTTTAAGCTATCTTGCTCCATATCCTCACAAAATTCTAAAAACTGATTTTTCAATCTGAACAAAACCAGTAGATTCACACGTGAAAACTGTGTGAATATAAAAAATTCATACCTTTATTGAATAATTTTAAAGATAATATGTTTAAAATTTTCATTTATAATTCAATTCTTTAACAAAAGTTTTTTGAATGGTATTTGCGAGAATAATTTGTTGGAAATATCTCTAAAAATAGGCTCCCACTGTTGTCGAGTTTCCGGAATCATTTCTTGATAAAAAAGTTGCCAATGTTGATTTAAGAAATTATTTGCAAATTTATCTAAAAAGCATAAACAGAAATATTTCTTTGCGAAATCAATTGAAATAAAAATAATTTACTCAGTTCTTGATCGGGAAACAACCCAGATGCTGAAATTTTCATATTTTTTGCTTCTGGTAAAACATCAAATTGATGAATTTTCATAAATTTTTCTCCTTTCTTTTCTTCAAGCTTTCCCTTAATCGTCCATTTTGCAGTAACATCATATGTTGATACATTAAATTGTCCTTTTGATTCAATTTTAAGAACACCCAATGAAATATTTGATTTATAATTTCCGATTGTAAACAATTTTGGAAAGTTAACAATTGCTTGTAATTCCATTTCTTCATCAGTAAAATCAGATTTCAAATTTATGACTTTTGCTCGACTTATTCCATAACTTTTTTGATCTCGAACTGTAAACCATCCTTGAACAAAGCCTGGATTATTATATTTAAAGGTTACTGTGTCATAAACAAATGGTTCAATTGATGGAAAATCAATAGAATTTGGTTCTTGATGTAGTGCTGACAAGAAATGTTCAATTGAATCACGAATACATTCATCCCGCGCTGGATCTTGATAGTTGCACACTTTTAAGGATGATGCTTTTAATAGAAGAAACAATCAAAAAACTGTAATAACGATTTAAGTTAATAACTGAATAATTGGTGGGGATTTTGACCTATTTGCAATTTAATGAACATCTCTTTAACAGCAGAGAGCTTTTTATGGTTAATTATGATATTTTTTTTTGCTCCCAACATTTTGCAGTTAAAATCGTGCAGTTTTTACTATATGCTTTGTTTTAAAAAAAACTTTACGTTTCATCATTTAAAATGTTAAAAAAAACTTTTTACAATTAAAGTAATATTCAAACGAGACCAAAACAGGTTTATTATTTTTTAAATTTCATACAAGCTAACATGCTGAATTTGAACTTGAAATTACTCATAAACTTGAATGAAATACAGTTTTATGCGTAAACGCATTTGATAATTCCTTAAAAGTATGAGATTAAAACATTAGTGGTCGATCTTTTTCGTCTAGTGAAGCACTTTTCAATCAATAATTCTCTGCAACAGACATGACAAACTTTTAAGGTGTTAAATTTAAAATTTCAAGATTATTTTCGTAGCATTTAAAAAATTGAGCACAACCTAGACCATCTAAACTTTTTTTAATATTAATACTCACGCAATTTTTCAATCGACTTTGATGAAATTATTACAACAAAGATTAAAAGTATTATTAAAATTTTCATCTTTTCAACAATTTTGTTCTTTCCTTTACTGCAGTTGTGATACTTTTAAAAATCTTTGATCATCTGAATCAGCTATTTATATGAACGATTTTAGAACCTTGATTACACAATTAAAAAACTTCTAGCTATAATATTTAGCAGTGTCGTAGTTTTAAGGCGTAATTGAGTTTTAAATTTATTCCTCTTTTCAGCGAATTAAATTTTAACAAAAATATTTGGAGTAGTGTTGAATGATATTTCAAAAGGAAATTTGTTTAAGTATGGTCAGAAAATAGTGGAAAAATATTGAATTTGTTTGTTGAATCTTTGTCTTTATCATTACATTACAGGTTGTGCTAACATTTTTTTAACCCTCTCATGAAGTTCTGAATACGTCACTGATATTTAGTAAGTATAATTAATTTTTTGAATTTTTAATTTTAATTTCATCATAATAAATGGAAAATTTACAGTTAAAATAGCTATCATGCATGATATTTACGGATGTGAGGTTTTAGTTTTTAAATAGCACTTTACTTAAAGAGATAACATTAATGCTGAATTATTGAGTTTCGTTTATATTGATTGAAGAATTTTACTATCATTATTAAAAAGTTATCATTGAGAATAGTTTATCATTTGAATTACATTTCTGCTATTTTACAATTATCTGATTTGAGCTTGAAAATTGAGCTTTGAAAAACTATTTCTTTATATAAACACAAAAACTAGTACTTTTCAGTACTTTTCCGTTAAAAACTGATTTGGTTTTTTTTTTTAAAGTAAACTTTTTATTTATTCACATTTGAATAAGGAATGTGTTTTTTGATTTACTTGATTTTTTTAGTTTGATTTGTTCTTGTGATATGTTACCAAAACATTCTGTTATTATTATTATTATTTATTATTGTAACAAAACATTCGGTTGTTTTTAAATTTAATTACAGCTCTTTACTCTTGATAGTGTTTTTGCATCTATTTTCTGCATCTTTAAATACAACCATAATAGAAGTAAAAAACCAATAGATTCACACTTGAAAACGGTGTGAATATAATAAATTAAATTTCTTGGCAAAATAAAATTGATTTTGTGTGAAATGAGACTAATTGAGAAAATCATTCAACCATCTTCTACACATTCTGCAACTGTTATATTTTTTCACGGTTCAGGTACAATTTGCGACAAACTTTTAAATTTAAGTATACATTATATTTTGTAAATATATTGTAATCATATACTCAGGTGACACCGGAAGCAACTTAATTGAATGGATAAAATTTTTATTGGGTCGAAACTTTGACTTGCCTCATGTTAAATTTATATTTCCTACAGCACCTGTTCAAAGGTGAAATATGTTTATAAACTCTGCCAAAACCATTTTTAATTTATGTATGTTTTTTAAGATACACGCCTTTGAATGGTGAATATAGTAACGTATGGTTTGATCGCAAAGAAATTGCAATTGATGTTCTGGAGTGTAGAAAATCATTATCAGCTATTTACGAGACAGTTAATGAGTTGCTAAATCGAGAAATATATGGATGCTCTATTCCTGCAAATCGTGTAGTAGTTGGTGGTAAGTTTTTTAATAAATTTGCTTTATTTATTTAAAAACTTTATGATGATTATTTTTAGGATTTAGTATGGGAGGAACTCTTTCACTGCACACTGGTTTTCACTTAAATAGAAATCTTGGCGGAGTTTTTAGTCTTTCTAGTTTTTTAAACGATCGTTCAATCGTTTATGAGTCTTTAGAGAATTCATCAGCTCAACCATTACCTCCACTTAAAATGTTTCATGGACAAAGGTATTTTAAGTTTTGTGATAATTTAAAATATAATGAATATTTCATTTAAATATTTAATAGAGATACGTTGGTACCAATTAACTGGGCAGAAAAGACATTTGAAGAGCTTACGAAACGAGGCATTAAAGGAGATTTGATTACAATAAGAAATGCATTTCATGAATTAAAAAAAAATGAATTACTTGATCTAGAAAAGTGGATTTACGAAATTTTACCTCCTCTCGACAATGAATTCCAAAATAAGCTGTAGTGTTTTTAGCGCATTTTTGTATACTTGTTTACAAAAAGGGAGCTTAATAATGCACTTTGTTCGTTCGTCTGAAAAAAAACTTTTTAACCAGACATCGTAGAGAGCTCAGGTTTGTTTTATTAGCTCCGTTACTATTGATTTATTGGCCGATCGAACAGTTAAAAGTCTTGAAATAGTGTATTTATACTATAACTAATGGTTTTTTTATTTCATAAACAAAACCACGTGATGAGTACGTTTAAAAAATTCAATATAACCTTTATAATTTCAAATTCTTCTAACCGTTATAAAATTTGAATTCCAAAAAAACGTTTAGTGATAAACCTTGCTGTATGGAAATTCATTGCAACAGATTATTAATTATACTATAATTGATGTTTTTGTAGTGCAACTTTTAACGGAAATATTTCAAATTATTTATTGACCGTTAAATAATAAAGCTTTTCTGTATAAGCATTCATTGTAATTATTTGTTAATTACACTCAAATGAATAATCTTCTAAACTTCTAATGATCTGTAAACGAACGCAAAATAATTAGATAATCAAATACTGATCGCTGCGTCAAAAATGCGCTGAAGTCCCTCGATCAATAACAAGAGGACTTTTGTAATTTTTTTTTAATGAACAATGTAAATGGAATTAATTATTTAATTGTAGTCTGTTATTTTGCCTCACGCATTAATGAAACACGGTTTTTTTAAAAAAAAAATTACCACAGACAGGCGCGTAACCAGGGGGGATTTGGGGGACGAATTAACAGAAAACAGAAAACGTTAACAGAAATTTCTTCATTTTGCTAGGATTTTTATGAAAAAATACCAAATTTCTGGCTACGCCCCTGACCACAGACTAAAGATCTATAGATTTAAAATAAATTTTTTTAAAGAAAAAAAAATAGAAATCTTATCAACAAAGTTGATAATAATTCGTCTATAGTTTGTCTCAAAAACAAATTTTGAATTGAATGACCTGCGATTGTGATTTGAAACGCAAGTATGAGTAATCGAAAGTCACTTTTTAAATTGAATAATCAGACAACACGATTTAAATAAAAAACGTTTAAATATTTCCGTCTTAATATGTTAAAAGAATCTTGATATTTTCTCGATATTTACACTATACCGAGAAACCACAAAAATGCAGTTGGCAATAATTTGTATGTGAAATATTTGATCAGATTTGTATCATAAATTGTTCATCAAATGATAAACATTTTAACTTTGGAAATTCTGTAATTTGAACTACAAAACTATCATTTCATCAGCCTAAAAGGTAAGCATTTTTGTTAAGATTTACGTGACAAAATTCTGAAATAAAAATTTTATAACAAAAATGAAATTAAAGGGGTCATTCATAAATAATAATAATGATACACATGTCTATCTAAAGATTAGAATTTTTTTTAAAATAAAATTCAATGTATGTTGTTCAATAATTATTTGGCATTTATGTACTTGTTTGGAGGCTCGTCATACTCCATGGCTTCACATTTAAATGTGTAACAATATCTTGTTTACTAGTGTGTTCCTACGAACCATAAATTGTTTGTAATTTACATATATTGTTGCTATTTAGAAAAACTTCAATGAAACTTAATCCTAATTACTGTACTTTTTATGTTTACTTGTGTTACCGTACTTTTAAGTCGGTCATGTTTTCCAATATAATATCATTTACAATAAATGAGACAAAGTTTTTTTGAGAAACAAATCTAAATGAACCATTTTGAATCGTTTTGTCTCTGATAATTATAATTTTATCCTGCTTAAAATAATTAAATATTGATCTTGAAAATTACTAAAAGTTTTTTGCCGTTCTTTAACAATGCTATTTACTCTTATAAACTTTTACAAAAATGATAAAATTGCTAATTTTATTTAAAAGAATTTGAACGGACAATATTAATAGAAAGACATTTCTTTTTTAAAAAATAAATAGTATTGACGTCTTAAAAATATAAAAAATTTAATCCGCATTTTCGTAGTGTGTATTTCGCATCGGCTTTAAGGGAAATATCAAATTCAAAGTATGAAAAAAAATTATATTTTTAAGTTTACTGTTCTTTAGATGTATTTGTGCTAGAAAAATGAGCCGACTGAGAGAAGACATATATAAAACCTATAACTTTACATATTTCATTTAATTCAAATTCCTTAGTTTGCTTTGGACAGTTATTGAGTGCTCCTCGTAAAAAAATATTAAAAGAAATTTTTGAGTTTTAAAAAAATTATAAAACACATTTAATTTTAAAGATATAAATCAAATATGACAGCAATAATGGAAGTTCTGAAAAGTGAAATAGATACAAATGATGTCTTTGAAATTGTAGAGACAAACTTTTTTACAACCACAATTCGGAAACTTATATTTTCTCCTAAAACTCCTGTGGTCGAGCACGCAATTTCAAGTGACGACAAACTTAATCAAATTTCATTATCTGATGTTGCTTTGCATGATACATCTGATGACTGCTGGATTGTGATTTATGATCGTGTTTACGATGTTACAAACTTTTTTGATAATGTAAGATTTTCAATTGGAGAATAAAAAATCTACCAAAGATATTTTGAATTATATTTATGCAAAAAATTTGAATTTTTACAGCATCCTGGTGGAATTGATGTTATGCTGGAATATGCCGGACGGTAAGCAATAAAATATTATGTTTTTTTCTATTTTATTAATAGTGAACTATTCAAAATTTTTTATCACCCTTAACAAATGACCTTTAAAATGTGCACTTATATTCTATATAAGCATCTATATGTTTTTTCTATTTTCTTAAAAATCAACCTTCATTTTTTCGTTATCTTTCACTTTAATTCTTTTCATTATTTTATTTTCTTTCTCTTATTAATTGCAGGGACTCTTCAGTTGCTTTCGCTGGACACTCAAATTTTGCTTTAAGTATGCTTAAACAATATGAAATCGGAATTTTACCTCCAAATGAGCGTATGTATAGATATCCAGCTACATTAAGCCTTTCATACCAAATTCCAGATTAGTGGATTAACAAATATTGTAAGTCTTTATTGAAACATTTAATATATAGATAAGGAAGTTATATATAAAAAAAGATGCAGTGAGATGACGTTGTAATTGTGACGAGGAGAAAATGTGCTCTCATGTAAACAAAAAACTATGATTGATAACTCTACAGATTATAGTTTGTCAAAAAAATGTGACTGATATCTTTTTAAAAATATTCTTATTCACAGCTTTGCTCTTTAGACATTCTCATCAAGATAATTATTGGTTTTTAGTATTATGATAAAATTAATTTAATTTATTTTGTTAAATGTAATTTATTATAGGTATTTAGATTTGAATAAAGTCAAAAATAATAATGGTTACTTGTATTTTAATACAATCAAAATTCCAATAGTTCACATTCTTATGTATGAACTCATTACAAAACTTTTTTTCATATACGCCCATCACAACTATCGATCTCGTAGTATTTATTTTAAACCATTTCAATTTTTCAAATCGTGATACAGTATTTGAACGTAGCAAGATATTGATTACCTTTTTAGCGCATTTTTGAAACTTGTTTCTAAAAGGTAGCTTAATAATACGCTTTGTTCGGCTGCTTGGGAGAAGAAAAACTTTTTAATTAGACATCGTAGAGAGCTCACGTTTGTTTTATTATCTCCGTTACTATCGATTTATCGGCCCATCCAATGCTTAAAAGTCTTTAAATCATGTATTTTTAATTATAATTAATGGATTTTTTATCTCATAAACAAAAACACGTGATGAGTACGTTTAAAATTTCAACATTTTTTTTTTTAATTTTTTAGTTTTATTGATTTATAAATCATTTTTCAATTGTGCTATGAATATTTATAATTTTAATTTGTTACATTTACAAATAATTTTACATTCTTCTCTGATGTAGACCTGGAAAAAATGTAGAATTGTAGACATCTACATCGAATCTTTATGTAGACAGAATCTTTATGTAGAAATAATCTTTGTGTTGATTAGATTTTCTATCTTCATGTAGAATCGATCTTTATGAAGAAAGTTTCTTAGCTAGACAAAAACTATTGAAGAATCTACATTCTTCATCTAGTGTAGACATCTACATTTGCAACACTGATTAGAACAAATGATTATTAATTACACTTAAATAATGATCTTCTCATGATCTGTAAAATAATTGCAAAATAATTCGATAATCAAATACTGATCGCTAACACAAAAATGCGCTTAAGTCTCTCGATCAATAACACGAGGACTTCTGTAATTTTTTTAAACAGATTTAAAGACCCCTAAATATTTTGTAATTCAGTTATCGATATTGAAATTTATTTTGTGTGTCTAGATTTATGTATCTTCAGAAAAAGCTCAATATTAAAGGACTGCTTATTAATAACCCCGAGTAGCACCAACAACAACAACTGGTTTTACGTCGACGTCAAGGCACCATCAAGTAGAAAAAAGCACGTCTATGGTGCCTTGACGTCGACGTAAAATCAGTTGTTGTTTTTGGTGCTACTCGGGAACGATTTCCAAAAGCATGGTTAAAAATTAAGTTCGGTTAAGGCGCCAATTGCGAAAGAGCTGTGTGGTATGTTTAAATCGTTTTTACCGCGAAACCATAATTTTTTTTCATAAGACCATATCGGTGTAATCATGCAAAATGATGAACACATTATGAAAGCTTTCGAGTCTCAAAAGGATTCACATCAATTAGTGTAATACTTCACAAGGGTTTTGAATCCCTCCACCTGCCATGAAGGTGCCATTGATAGCAACGTAATATATATATATATATATATATATCCAGTCTTTATACTCTATATCCTACCGTAATTATCATGCTATTAACCTGTATCTCTCATTCATGAAGAAAGATGACATTGTGCAGCTTTTACGAGCTTTTACGATATTTAAACTAAATTATAATTTCAATACCTATGGTATTAAATAAAATCCAATACAATACATAAAACTTTAAATAGTTGTCAATTAATTGTGAAATGAGTTAAAAGAAAAATTGTGTTAATTGATACAAGAATAAATATTAATATTGTGAAGTCACTAAATAGAATTTTAACTGAAAGGAAACCAAGTATTCTTATTAACTTGTTCAAAAGAAATTGTGATGTAAAAGCTAGACCAGTGTTGTCCAAACTTTTTTGAGCCACGTCACACCTTAGGGGTAAGCCATTACCAAATTACAACACTGAGCTAGACCAATGAAATATGCGAATGAACTTGCATTACCCAATTTCCCAATTATTTAAAAAGAGTGCTCATAAAACATTCGTGGATCTTGCTTGTAAAAAATATAATCAGATAAATAAATTCAATAATGATAATCAAAATCAACTAATTAATGGTTTCAAATGATCAACAAATAGATAAAGGAAAAAATTCATCAAAAATACTGAAAACTTTCAATTTCCCCTATAAAGAATTTATTTTAAAAATAAACGACTTAAGGAGAAAGCCACGAACTTTGACCTTGGCTAAAGACTTGTCGCACAACTGCAAATGGTGATAAATATTTAAAGATAAAAGTTCCTGATCTATTTATAATAAAAAATAGACTAATTTATTCATGATATGCTGTCGTCTTTAATGCTATTTTCTTCAAGGTTTTTCACAGTAAAATTTAAGACCAAATTGCACACGGTACGCACTGCAATTAATATGCCCTTCAATAAAAGTATATTCAATCTAGCATAACGTCATTCTAAAGTTATACAATCGGCCTGTTTCACTAACGTGGATTATCCATCGATCGGATTATCCACTTTTTCAATCCGAGGATAATCCATAATTTTTTTTACTTCGTTAACGTTCACTTATTACGTTACGCAAAAAAACGACTTTTTTCACCCCGCCCCCCTATGTTACAACCCCCCACCCCCCCCACCCCCCCCCCCCCCCCCCCCCCCCGTTTTCTTAACTTGCTTTTTTTATCTGTTTATCTGTTTGTCGAGGTCAAATCTTGCGATCAATTTTTCGACCATTTCTACTCTTTTTTTTTCATTTTAATTGCACTTAATTGCATTTATTGACGACATACTGTCCGGTAAGTCTTTAAGGCTTAGCTTATTTTTACATAACATATGAACAACTTTCAATAATTTTAAATTTCGAAAGCCGTTATGAGATTGAATCACAAAAAAATACGTTTCACGACTTTCTATGGTTTAATTCTAGTTTACAAACTAATGCTGATCGATGGATACTTTAAATAATTTTTTAAAACTAAAAAGTAGAAAATAAATACTTTATAAAAAAACTTTTTAAAAAAACCACGTTTTTACCCGTTGACTACTGTATATTTGGAGAGCTTAAATTTCATATAAATGCGCCCACGTTTTAAGATGTAGAATTATACGATATGGTCGAAGCAGGGGCGTAGCCAGGGGGGGGGGGGCATAGGGGGCCCGGGCCATGTATGGCCAATAATGAATTAAATATTTAAACTTATGAAGAATGAATATAGATTTAAGGATACAAAATAACGGTTTTTTAATTTTCGAAAATGGGCCCCCCCCTTAAAAATTTTCTGGCTACGCCCCTGGGTCGAAGTAAACAATTTTGCAATTCATGTATGGTCATGACTTTAGTATGAAACTTTCAAATCAATCTCAAATTTTCAAACCAATATCCTTTGAACCCAATAAAAAAGTTATTTTATACTTTTTAGTCAACGGGTAAAAACGTGGTTTTTTAAAAAGTTTTTTTTTTATAAAGTATTTATTTTCTTTATTCATATTTCCCAAATTTGTTTTAAGTGATTATCAATTTATAGAAAAATTTTGGCGCCAAAACACAATTATCAAAAAATAAAATATTTCTTTTAAATCTAAAAAGACGGTTAAATTTCTTTTGTATTTTTTTTTCTTAAACATCAAAATAGGTACAGCTAAATAGGTCATGTTTTGATTAATACTATTAGTATTCTCATGAATTATTGGATTGAGATATAAAGCAAAAATTAGTTTTTTTTGAAGAAAATTCAAAAATGTCATGAAAAATATTATGCCCGATCGAATTTTGGAAAATTCAATCAACTTTGAATGTAAATATCACAATGATGGGATCATATTAATCATCATATGAATGACAGATTTAGATTTTAAAGTCTTGTAAACCAGTTTTCTATTGATTTGTTACTTTATATAACAAAAACTATGTATTGCTAAGCTATCAAAACTGATCTGGACATTCATAAATCATTAAAAAAGGTGGAAAATTTAAAAAAATGTTTTTGGTGTGAATTTGTAAACAAATTTTTTTCGTGAACTTTTTTTTAAAAGACAGAGAACGTTACATTCTTCTTGACAACCGCCCCCCCCCCCCCTATGTTACATTTTGTTACAATTTGTCAACCCCCCCTCCCCCTAAAATGCGAACGTATGTGCCCCTAAGCTGCACGGTGAATCAAAAAAAATTAATTTAAAGAAAATAAATTTTTGACGATAGATTTCACAAAAAAATATTATCCTAGTAGGTGGATTATCTGAAGATTATCCTGAGATTATCCTAGGATTATCCACATAATTATTCTAAAATGTTAAAACTGGGTCCCACCAAAATCAGGAATCTTCAGGATTATCCTAGGATAATCTAAAGATAATCCATATAATAAAATTATTTTTTCGCGATATTCACTAAACAAAGAAAATGATTTTTCTCAAACTAGCTTGATTATTATTAACCAATTAATTCTACATCAGAAAGAAATTATTTGGATTTTCCTTGCATCGAAGAAATAGATAATCCTAAAATTAGGATAACCCACCTTAGTGAAACAGGCCGAATGATTTATAAAAATTAATATTAATAAACAAATTCTTAACGAAATGAAATAATTCAAACTTAAAGCATAATGTGGATTTAATAAAACGACAGCTGTTGAAATTTAAAGAAAGAAAAAAAAGGATATCATAGATAAATAATCGTCATATGCTTTCAATGTCGAAGTGAAGCATCTAATGACATTAGGATGAATGATGTTCAATTTTAAAACTAAAAATAAATATTAGGTATTAAACAAACAAAAAATTTATATGTTCTGTGTAAAATTTTATATGTGTATTGTAAGGTTTCGAATGTTTATCGATTTTTTATTGTTAATAATGAAGCATAACTGTTAAAATTAATTCAAATTGCTGTTAGCGTAATTTTCTGATTTTGTTCGAAAGTGTTATAGCAGCTTTTTCTGTCCGGTTTTTCGTTCGATCAAGAGAAATACAGAATCTTTTACAACAATAGTTTTTTTTACATAAAGATAGAAATATAGTATAGTATAATATATTCTAGAATAATAGAAATTCCTAAAATCCATTGTTCTTTTTTTAAAAAAAAAACCTTTACCTATTCAGATCAAATGTGATCCAGAGGTGAGCTAAAGCGATTCGCAGCTAATCAGAATTTAAAGAGTAAGGATGCTCCAAACCACTGCACTAAAACCTAGACCTACAATTTATAGTGGAATCCAAACCACTCGTTTGATGACATTTCTGTCTTTAGCCTCCAAAGGAAGGATGTGAGCCTCATTTCTAGTAGATATGATTCGAAAAAGGACAAGTGAAAAATTTCCCATTCCCAGTCTTGAACCAATGATCGTTGTGTCGGTATTGAAATAATTAAGTACCGAAGTACTAAACCATTCCACCACCGAGCCACTGCAGCTCAAAAAAAAAAATAAAAATAAAAAAAAGTGAACATCCACATAGGTGTTTAGAAAATGCGTTTTTGTTTATCATTAATGCAAGTTTTTTTACTATTTTTATTGGGCTTGAATCACTTTTTCTTGAATCGTTTTTTTTTTCTTTAAGAAAATCATTGCGAAAAATTTTGAATATGGTAAGCATATTGTTAGAAATTAGAAACAGACATCAGAGTAATAAATCAAGTTTGAAGATAAGAAATAAATAGAAATAAATTGAAGAATTTTGTAAACTACTAAAAATCAATATTTTCCGACTTTTCGAACTAAAATTGACAAAAAATGAATTTGTTTTTTAAATCTAAGCATTAAAAACTAATTTTTATATTTATGATGTCTACTTGTTTCAGATGCAATTTATGTTATTATTCAGTCGACAAGGTAAACTTCGATTGCAAAAATGGTACGTTGCCCATGCAGATAAAGTTAAGAAGAAGATTACACGGGAACTTATATCCACAATATTGGCACGTAAGCCTAAAATGTGTTCATTCTTGGAGTACAAAGAATCTAAAATTGTTTACAAGAGGTAAAACTGACGAGTATATTACGTGATTGATTATGCTGAACAAGTCCAATATTTCTCTTTACACTGGTTTATTCTATAGATACGCTAGCTTATACTTCTGTTGTGCAATTGAACAGGAAGATAATGAACTATTGACTTTGGAAATTATTCACCGATATGTCGAATTGCTTGATAAATACTTTGGAAGTGTAAGTAACTTGACTGATGAGCTATGAATTTCGAAAATCAAAAAAATTATCTTTTTAAGTTTGATAATAATTAAATAATGCTAATGCGAGTATAATTTTTTTTTTTGATAGGTTTGTGAACTCGACATTATTTTTAATTTCGAGAAGGCTTACTTTATCTTAGATGAATTACTTGTTGGGGGCGAAATTCAGGAGACATCCAAGAAAAATGTATTGAAAGCAATTGCTGCACAAGATGTTTTACAAGAGGTAGGCAACGATGAAACTTACGATATATAAACTTGTCAGTAATAACATTATTCATTCTGCGTAATATTGTTAAAATATACATGAAAGATGCTAAAAATCTCTTGCCCTTTTTCGTGACGTTAAAATTCATGCCACAAGATTTCTGCTTAATTTATTAAGTTATTTTATGGTTTTGAATTTTATTATTTTTGATTAAGTTTATAATTCAAATAATCCATTTGCTTGTTTTATTTTTTATCTGTGCTTTTATTTAAATTTGCATCCTTTTGTTGTCAATGTTAAAACAAGCATTTTGCGGCCTATGACAATTCAATTTCATTCACATTCATAATTTATAATATAACAAAACTAAGAGATGAAACTTTTGCAGAACTAATCTTTAAACAGTAATTTGAGGCTTAACATTAAATTCAGAAAATATTTATTTTATATTGTATTGATTATTAAATTTTTATTATTCGTATGGTGGCAGTAAATGGAAATAAGTATGAATATAGATTACAGTGAGACTGATCAATGGGTAACATTGTTTTGCTTTTTAGTAAATTAATGTTTATTGAGAATTTTCTAATCATTATCACTTATATATAAGTATAGGACAAATATGCAAAAAAATTTTGTCCAATTTTTGGTTCATTATTTTTGAAAATTCTAAATATTATTTTGGGCTATTTTTGGTTTTACTCTTCTATATGTAGGCCTAAGAATAGATAAATATTTTTATGAAATTCGTGAAAAATCAAAACAAAAACATCAACCTTCTTAATAAGGGGTCGCTTACTTATGACGTAAGTTTTTCAACCCCTTCCTCTGTCACAAATTTATATGAAAAAAATTCTTTTGTTTAAGGTGTCACAAAATCTTAAACCTCCCTCCCATCATATATATCTGACGTCATAAGTGAACGACCGCGTTATGCCTTAAAAGTAGGGTTTGCAAAATTATCATGCGCATGTAAAGATTTCCAAAAAAGTTATAATTTCTCATTTTTAATTAATTAATTTATTTCGTCAAGATAACTTTTATATGGTCACTTTTACCGATTTGACATTAAATCTTGTAAATATATAAAGTCAAATTAGAGTTGTACTGTTGGAATCTGATAAATATGTCGAAAGAATTTTTTTAAAAGATTGACATACAGTACATGCCATGCGTACGGGTGAACCCTACGAGTAAAATGTAATCTTAATAAAGTGGCCAAAGTCTTATAAATTGTAAATTATTTATATAGTTACGATACAGTCATTCGCGGATTTAAAAACTAAAACCTTTCTTTTTCGTTAAATATTTCGAATTACAAATATCCAAATGTTCTCAGAAATATAAGGCATAAAAGTTTTATTATATTTCATTAACTGTTTGTATTAATATTTCCAGATTCTCATTTTTTTGATGCTTTGAGTTAAGCTAATTGACTTTAACTTTGATTAGTTTTGCATGCTAGAAATGTGCACCAAAATAAATTTGAATTAATCAAGTCATAAGCATGCTGTTGATAAACTTCCATTACGCTTTAAGAGTAATATCTCTTTTAATAGAATAGACATTTTGCATTTGTTCATTATACGTTCTTTCAAGTTATGCACTGCATAAAATTAAAAGGAAATATTAATTTTTGGTATTAAAACGTAATCTTAGCTTTAACAATATTTTGATTGATGATATTTCCTTAAATTTTTGTCACGACACAAAAACTAAAAAACTAAAAGCTGAAAGACTAAGAATTTTTTCACATTGCTACTTTTGCTTACTGCAACCACGTTTATATTCGGACGCACCTTGTCCGGTTGTTAACTTAAGCATTTTAATCTTACCTCTCCTAAAGCCAAGAAAATTTAGTTTGAGGAATCCATCAATCAAAGAATGTTAAAAACTTCTTTTTGAAGTAAGCAATTTAATTGAGAAGTTTAATGTTTGTTTGAAAAAAAAAACAGTTGTTTTTGAAATATTTCACTCCCAATTATGTTTTTTTTTATTTTATCTTCTTTTTCTTCCTGTTTCTTCTATTTTTTTCTTTTTCTCTACATGTTTATTATGAATACCATGAATAAGGATCTGAATGAAAATTTAAATTGAAAATTACACACATCGATGTCAATTATATCCCTTTTTTGCAACTTAAAAACTTTTTAAAAATTGTAAAACATAATAGATAGGCGCTTATTAGGTTTTCAAAACGCTTGCTCGTAAATGGAGAAAAATAAATTTAACTACATTTATTACAAATGCAGCTTTTATTGTTTAGCTAAATAGCCAAAAAATTACGTACATATTTCAAGGATAAGACATAATAAAAAAAAATGCTTTAATTTGCGCATATGCTTTATTTTCTGTTTTTTCATTTCCACACTTGGATTTGGTTAATTCATTTTATTTTTTTTTCAAAATTTTCTGTTATTTCTTAAAATCTTTTCACATTTTTTTTTGATTTCTAAACTTTTCAGGTTTTAGATGAAGAAGATTATTTTTTCTTTTATTAAGCAAAAATTTCTTGATCCTTGCCAATTTTTTTTTTGTTTTTCAAGAGTTTTAGTGCATTTTTATTTTATTCATGGTTTTAAGAGTCATAGTTTTTCCATCCTAGTTCAAAATCAAGTATTATTATCTTTGTATGCCCGGCTTCGCAAGATATGAAATCTAAACCATTTGCTTTTATGTTCAGTTTTCCGGGCATGCGGGCTATCTAAACATATGTCCTAACAACACAAATGAGAACTTACAGAGATTGAAGCTGATTTTTTCGGCTTAAATCAATTTTCGTTGTTTTTGATAGATTAATGATTCTGTGTAATATTTTGTCTCCATGTAACTATATGAAGCTCCAAATTTCAAGTTAGCCAATTCTGAGCCGATCAGCCTACAAATTGGCAAAATATTACATAGAATCTTAGTACAACATGTAAAGCTCAGTTTTAATACTTTAAATTGGTGTTAAGTGTTTTTTTTTCTACCAAACAAATTCAAAAATTGATTTAAACCTAGAAAATTGGATTCGATCTCTTCGGAAAATACGTTCAAAATTGGATAAAATAAGCGTTATTTTTCAGGCTTTTAATTTTAAAACTGATAATTTATTTTATTGTTCAGACCAATAAATCAAAATGGCGAAAGCTTCAGTAAAAATACGCTTGTTATCATAACTGTTATAATTTAAGATAGAGCCAAATTTAAATGAAAGAAAGGATTGAAAAAACCAAATTAAGATTATTTTTAAGCGTCCATTGCTATAAAAAGCCCATTTTATATAGTTCTAGAAAATAAAATTGTAATAAACGAATAGAGTTAATATTTGATTGTCTTAAACAAAATCAAAAGAAAATGTTTAAATGCCAAAAACCAAATAGAAATTAAAATGGTAAAATTTATTAACTTAAAAAGTAAAATTGAATGTCTTTTTATATAATTCTTCTTTAAAATTTTATATTTCATGTTTTTATTTTATATTATTAAAATTCATCATGCGCTAATAAATGATCATTAATTCATTTCATTTTTTTTAAAGAGATATGGTTGGCTTATATTAAATGATGAAATAATCTTAAAAAAAATTAAGTCCTTTGTTTAAATCTTCCATGCTCTAGTCAAACAGTCAAAATTTCAGTTTGTTCGCTTTTGAAAAAAAAATAAAATATTTTGATTGATTTTTTAGGGGCCTTTCGCTAATTCAAAAACGCTGAGATTTTGTGACAGTTCAAACAAAAGAAATTTTTCTGTGTACAAATTTTGTGGCAAGCGAAGGAGGGGAGTCTAAAAAGTCAGTTTTTCGCGTTACTTAATAAAGTGATCGGCGTCTAAGACATTTGACATTAATGCTTTGTCCTTTTGTACCTAAGATTGTAAATTATTTTCCTTAAATTAATATAAATCGACATAAAAAACAACCTTCCTTTAATCCTGATTATAATCTCCACAACAAAATGCATGCCGGATGAATTTCATCGTTTTAAAAAAAAATATTATTGTCAACCATTGAACTGTAATTTGGTGTCTTTCAATTTGTGGCTTGGGCAATTTTGTTTCTTCAAATCTAATTTAATATATAAAGCGTCAACTACCAAAAAGATAAGTAATTCTCTGCTCTGATCAAAGCACATATAACTGATTTAAATTTTATAACATACGATTTAACTACAATCTCTCCTTGCAAATTGATATTTTTCGAAACAATTTCTTGGTTTCAAAAGAACTGTTAATTAACTCACAATTGATTTTAATCAGATTATTTTAAATGACATGATCAATGTTGTTTGGAAGTCATTTATTTAAAACGTGTGCTTTTTTGAACCCGTAACCATATTTCTTATAAAAAAGTGGCACACAGCGTCAGATTCCCTCCCTTCTAGTTATTCTAGAAATTTGGCATTTTTTATGAATTTTTCCATAGCAGCAACGGCGTAACCATTTTTCATGCAAAAATTTCTAGCTACGACGCTGCCAAAAGTAATGTAATTAAAATCTATATTATTGAGCTCAATGTAATAATTTAAAAAAAAAATTAAATATTACAGAACTATAAAAATATTTTTCTTATTAACATTAAATTAATTGTCACTAATCCACAACATTGAACTTTTTTAAGTGATTAGACTGAACAGGACATTTTTATCTTCCCTTTGATGTTTTTCTTCTTTTTTTCTTTTTTGGAAATTCATTAACAAATATAATATAAACATTTATGATTCAATGTTAACACAACTTTATTCGAAATTCATGTAAATAAATGTTATTGAAAAATGATTAGGAAGAAGCATTAGAATCAAGTTTGCGTGAAATTGGACTACTATAAAACACCATTACAACACCACATAACTTTTCATAACTACAGTAAATCATGAATAACTGATATTGATCTGATATGAGATTGTGTTAAGAATAAGTAAAATCCAAGATGGTTTCAATAATTATTTTTTCAAAAATAATGCCAACTTCATTCAAAATTGCCTGGCAATCACAAAATTTCAAAAAAAGGGGAATAACAGGAAAGGGAAGATTAAAATATTGTAAACATTTTGGTGAATTTGAAATTTTGAAAAATTTGCTATGACATCATGGCACATGTTTAATTTTTCATACAAAAATAAATATTAGGCCAGATAATTTTGATTCAAGTTGGTTTTAATTTTGAAAAAATAATTATTGTACCCATGTTGTATTTACTAAAATGTAAGCTTTTTTTTTTAATTTTTGCTGGTTGTTAGCATATATTTTCTTAAAAAATTAAATGTATGTAAGGTGTCGTTAATTTTTTACGTTACGCAAAAAATCACGAGTCTTTCCTTTTGATAAAAATTTTCATGAAAGTTAAGTATTTATAAATTTAGTATATTTAAGCGTAAGCGTAAACACCCCTGAAACATAAATGTATTAAATGAACCACTTGTAATAGATTTAAGAATTCAAGGGAATTGTAGAATTTACTCATAGTATTTGCTGCTTGATTTTTAACAAAAATATTTCAATTTATCAGGTCTAAAATTTTTGTTATTTGAAAAATTGATGAAAAAATGAATGATAAAATGTTACATTTATGAGCAGTAGTGATCTTCCTCAATTGACTTTTTGATCAGATATTAAGAAAACTATTTGATATTAAATTTTTTTAGAAAAATATAAATAACATATACACAGGTCAAATCATTTCATAATGACATCAAAAAATATTCAATAGCTCAGAATTGTCAAAATGTATCGTGAATGATATAAAAAGCCTTGATTATAAAAATAAATGAGAAATTTTAACGCTGAATGAAATATATTCTAAACTCGCGATAAGCAAAGAAAATCAGTGGTAATCACACTTATATCTATATTAACTTCTTTTGAAAATCTCCTGTTCCTGCTATACCAGCGTTGTCCAAACTTTTTGTGCCACGACACACATTTAATGTAAGCCATGATTGAAGTTATACTCAGCATGCGAATCGTGTCATTTCGAAAACATTTCTACTGCACACAGTTTGGACAATACTGTGCTTTACATTTCGATTGAAAAGAGTCAAAACCGAAAATTGGCTACCATCGATTTAAATCAAAAAACCACATATACCTTAAAATGAAAAAAATAAAAAAAAATGTTTTGTGCATATTTATTAAGAGCATAGCCAGAATTTTCTTATGAGAGTGATTTTTAAAACATCTTTGGAACTAGAAATTTTTTTGGCCTCTTCGATGAGCCTCTGATTAATGTTTTGGTAATAGTGTACATAGAATTTTTGGGACGAGGGTGAAAACATTCTTTATAGTTAGAAACCCTAGCGTTTATTATTTGATCACTCTCTCATCACTGGCCACACTTTTAATTAATGCTTTATTAATGAACTAGAAGCTCCGTATCAATACATATCTATAATCAAATATATGTAAATGTTGGACCAATTTTATTAGAAATTGAAAATATTTTTTTTATCATAAGTTGAATTTTGAAGAGAAAATTATATGAAATTAAATTACAAAACAAACCCGAAACTTTAAAATTTAAGAAATATGTTTTAATTTTTAAAAGTTGAAGAAAAAAATAAACGGCTAAAAAAATGACAATTAAGAGTTGAAATGATACTTATACACAACAACACAAAATAAATAAATTTTTTACGCATTTTTAAAAACTTGTTATGGCGTGAGATAGCTTCTAATTCGTAGGTTTGTAGGTTTTTTGTTATTTTAAAAATCCCTTTTCTATATTAATTAAATTACCTTTTCTTTTTATTTAAAATGATACAACATAACATTACTTTGAATCTCCATAAACGTAACATAAAAATTTTTATTTTTGAATCCGATTATTTGGTTTGTAGCTTGTATATGATTTATATACAACAAGATCTTACTGAATCTTGGTTTTTATTTCAAGATACGATTTGGATAAGATTTTACTGATCTACACGAGGATAATGCGATTAGTTCGTCCGTTCACATCTGTAACGGTGGCTTCTATACTAGTATTCTCAGTATGTATATGACTTGAGCAATTCAATAGAAATTAGGGAAAAAAATCTATTTTTTGCGGTATACATTTGTGTCATAAGATAGTTAAAGGTCTTATCATAAGTTCTTTCCGAATAGTTCTTTATTGACCAGATTTTCTTTATGTGTTAAAAATTATCGTAAAACTCAAATTTAAGAGCTATTCTCATGAATTAACACAAGGCCTATGACTAAAAAGATTCTGATGTTTCTCGTTTATTCTTTATTCAAATCTTATATGTTTACTGTTTTTGCGTTTTTTAAAATTTTGGGTTTTATCTTTTTATTGTTCCTGATCGCTGGTTTATGGTTTAATTTTGTAAACTTTTTTATACAACTAATTCGACTCATATATAATTGGTGAATTCTTAATGATTAAAAGAAAAACAAAAACCTTTCAATAAAATAAACTTTAGATTACGTAGAAGTGTACCGTATTTACAGCACATTTTCTTAAAATAAGCTTTTGTTTGCACTATTTGCAAAAAAAAATTTTTTGAGACAAGTTTTTGTTAAAACTTGAATCAAATGACTTAACTTTATAGCATTAAAATGCGTTAATGAATAAATATGAATCAGTATAAAATGTGTAGTGGTAGTGCTTATAAACTAAGTATAAATTGTTAACAGTTAACTGAATGGAATTAAAGGCAAGGTATGTAGTATTAATTAATAAACATGCATTTTACATTAATTTTTTAATTTAATAATATTTTCATCCTTGCTTTTTAATTCCTTCAGAAAAATTATTTCAATTGTTTTGAAAAAAAAAATCATATTCTATTTAATGTAGAAATATCAATGTTTTGGGATTTATTTAACTTAATTTTAACTATTTTTCTGTTCTTCATTTCAGGATGAGACACCCCAAGGATTTTTCGAAGACCATGGACTTGGATAAACTTTTTTAAAAAATTTATAAAAAAAAAGATTCAACTTTTACATTCTCACATAGTTTTTTAATGCATTTTTACAAGCTTGTTGTCGAAAAGGGTTTTAAATAATAATACTCCTTTTCGTTCGTTCGGTCGTAGAAATTTTTTTAACTAGGCATCGGATTTGTTTTTTTAAGAATTGTTTTGCTTGATTTTACCAGACTTTGTTAATTTTGAAAATTATGACTTTTAATGAGTTTAAGTTTTTCCTAGGAAGAGTTAACGAAAAATTTTGCTAATTCATTCGATTTAATTTGTCAATCATAAACTGATCGCTGCGACAAAAATGCACTGAAGTCCTTCAAAAAATAACACGAGAACTTTTGCAATTTTTAATTA